CATAATCTTGCACCTAAGTGTCTGATATTCAAATTTCGCTTTCTGGGTCAAAACTACTCGAATTTCCTCACTCACGTTGTTACGACTGAATCGAAAAAAAAACTAGGCAAATCTAAAACTTCCTGAATTCAAGCCTTTTTTGAGAAAACTGCCAACATTTCCCATCCATGATCCACTTTCTAAAAAGGCCATTTATTTCTGTCTAGAATGATGTACAAATGCTCATTTTGCCACCGAGAAATGAGCAAAAATCGGACGAAAAACATGGAATTTTGGCATAATCTTGAACCTAAGTGTTTGATATTCAAATTTGGGTTCTTGGGAAACTTCGAATAAAGGCCATTTAGTTATCTCTGGAATGATGTAAAAACGTGCGTTCTTGCTCATTTTGCTTCCGAGAAACATGCAAAACGGGACGGAAAAGATGAAATTTTGCAATAATCTTTGCAATATTATTCAATAAAAACGTTGGTTGCATGCAGCCAGATCTTGTGAGCTTTGCATTTTCAACTGACTGTAAACTTTTCTTGTATCAAAATGCCTTAGAAAATGACAATTTTCTCTAAAATTCTAAAAGAATAGTTCATCATTTCTTCTAATTTGCATCGATATGATTGCAGGGTGCTTATTTTAAGCGACAAAATACCGAGAAAACAGTCTTCCAATGCGGTATTATTCAACAGAAATGGTTCAACCCTCGATGTGCGATTATTTAATAAAACTTTACATGTTTCTAAATAGTGTGAGCTTCGCACGTTCAACTGACGAAGTTTCTCTTCTTTGCCTTTTTGAAGTTTTTGAAGAAATTGTGTGAATACACACAATTTTTCCACTTCCCAAGGACCTTATGCTTGTAGCACAACACTATTAAAGATAACGTTCTTCCAATCTGACATTATTCAGTAAAAACGTTATGCAGATCTGCAAAATTTCAATACAAATGTTACATCCTACAAAATCGTATGCTAAACTGACTTCAAACTTGTTTTTTCAGTTTTTTGACAAATTTAGACACATTAAGACTTATAAAACTGACATGTTCTCTTAAATCGCTCCGATTTTATGCCGGAAACTTCAAAGAAAATGTGTGCTCAATCGGACATTATTCAGTTAAAACGTTACCCATCCAAATATTCAATGAAAACGTGACATGCTTCAACATTTTTTGAGTTTCGCACGCTAAACTGACTTTCAACTTCTTTTTTAGATGATAATGCAACCAAACTGGTTGTTGTATTTTTTTTTTAGATTTTTTGAGAAGTTTAGACTTGAAAAACCGCCAGAAAATGGCAATTTTTTTAAAGCTCTAGAAGTACAGTGTCAATTTTTTTCGATTTGCACGATGCGCTTGAAACTCTTCTATTTTATGCGGCAACTATTAAAGGAAATGTTCTCCCAATCTGATACTATTCAGTAAAAACGTTATTCAGATGTACGAATATTCAATACAAACGTTATATGTTTCCAAATCTTGTGTGTTTCGCAAGTTCAGTTGACTTTAAAAGTTTCTTAAGTCTTTTGAAACACATCAAACTGACCCAACAATACTGATTGGGTAAAAACGTTATAAAGGCGCAAGATTATTCAGGGTCAACGTTGGATATTACAACGTCTTCCGAGACACATTTTTCCAATAAACTCGACTATTAACCTATGAAAATACTTGAGACTGGTGCGGGTACTTTCAAGGTACTTTAAACAGCTTTTAGCTTCCCTTGCAAGTGATTGCAATTCCGTGACTTTCTAACAAATAAAATCCGTCTAGGAATTGCATCAGAGCATGTCCCAATATGACCTTATTTGATAAAAACGTTATTGTCAACGTTGCAGGTCACTGAACGAAAATGTACTTACAGTTTCTTCTAAGGTTTCAACCGATTCATTTGCATCAAACGTTAACGTGTACAGATCACTCACATACAAACTGTCCTTCTTGTAATGTCTTTTCCGTTTTAATGATGCCATTATGTGCGGTTTTTTTGTTATCAGCGGATGGTGTTCCAGTTCATATGATAGCAGTGATTAATTGGGATAATCAGTCCAACCACAAGCAATGTTTTGGCATGTTGGGGAATTTGTAATCTGTTTTTATTTGATGTAAATCACGTTTCACGTTTTTTCGCTGGTTCGATGGTAAGCGCGCACTGGACGAAACTGTTGGCTTTCGATGGAAAAACTCGCCGAAATCACCTGAAGAGTTTTGGTACACCATTTGAACTCAATTGGCTGTTAATCAGCTTGAACAATTAGCTGAAAACCTCGGAACTTCTAAGGCTTCTTAGGCGCAAATATTGCAAGAACATGCCGCACTGCTGGTAGTCAAAAGTGCGAAAGCTATGGTCTATGGTTAATTAAACAATGGCCAAGTGGAAGTAAAAAAAGCCAAATCATTGGTTAGTAGAGCGCAACATTCACTCATCTAGTACGGTTGCAGAACACTGGCCATGTTTTAATTGCAGCTTTTTCGCTTTCTTAATTAATATTCTCGATTTTGTGTCTTGTCTTGCCTGGTTCTGCAGTTGACACTGACCCGGTTTGAAAGCGTTTGGACTTAGATGAGGAGGAGGAACGAAAATTTTGTTCAGTTTTGTTTCAGTTTGTTCGATTCATCTGACCTTCGAGTTGTTGGAAAAGTTTTGAGGAAAATGAAGCAATTGCCAAGCGAACTCACCTTTCGGAAGGTTTCTTCAAAGTGCAACTTCCTGATCAGTTTCCGACATCCCGGATCTTCTTCTTCCAGACCGCATTGCACCAACATTGTCGTTCACTTGCATACAAGGCGCAGAGAATTAGGCAAATTCTCCTCTAGATAAACCGAATTAACATTCCGCCGCCTGGTATATGTGCGATAAACTGGCCTTATCGGGCATTTGAATGAGGTGAACAGTCCCATCCTACTGATAAACATTTTTATGGTCTATTTACCTTGTAGCGCTGGCTTTTGCTGGAAAGTGAACTTTTCGGCAACCGTTCCATTATTGGACGAAATCCGGCTGTTCTGGACAAGTTTGAAGCGACTGAAGCTCGCGCTCGATTTCCCGCACGAAAAAGTTGATACGTTTTCTGGGCGATTGAGCGTTTCCAATTGAAATTCCCAGATCGGGATGAGATCAGATCGAGAAATAAATGCGCGAGGATAAATCCCGAATCAGACTCTCCATATCCCAATTGCGTAAGGTCGACATCGCCCCCATGTGTTTAGTTGCTCTTGAAGCCTTCTTTAGTACAAGATCATGGCTCTGTGGCTGGGAAACTGAGTTTTATCCCGAGTTTTTCCCTAGGGGTTCGAATTTGGTCATCTAGGTTCTTGTGCCAGTTTCGCTTCCAAACCTTCTCCATCCTCAGGCCTTGGCTGGCCAAGGCCTGCGGGTTTTGAGCACTAGAAAATTACACATGCCGCTGGACTACAATTGTTTGTTATTTCATCCGGAAGATAAACATTTATTCGTGTAGGAGCGCCGACAACAGCATCCAGCGAATTAACATGGATACGTAGTTCAGCTGGTCATCCGCTCGATGTGGGTCAGTGGCATACATTAGCGGGATTAACCAGCGGATTTTGGCGTAGATTTGGAGAAAACGCTAATTTTAAAAAACATTCAAAACTCACCCTTCGCTCCTCTTCCTTGGCGGCTTTGAGGTGGCTCTCGATGGCTTCGAGGTCGATCTTGGGCATGGCTGTTTCTATGTTGTAGACGTCGAATGCACCTGAGGGAAGCTTTCGATTACATCGACGTTTTTTCAAAATGGTTTTAAAAGTTTCCAGTGGCAAGCGGATATTTTTGTTGGATCTTAACTGTTAAAAAGGCAAAAAGTGCGGGATCAAAAATATTATTATTTCTAAGTGTTTTTGCTCCTAAATCTTCAAGTTTTGGTTGAGGAATTTTCACTTAATTTACATCACGGACTTGTTTTCCATGTTGTTGTTTTAAATTCGCGGAAAGTTGGACTTCAATGGATTAAACGAGCGATTTTTGGCAAAATCTGAAAAGTGCACTCAAACTGGGTGATTTGCCTTCAATAGCAACTGAATTTTCAAAAATCTTGTTCTGCTATAGGATGTAATTTTGAAACTGTTGCGAAGAGAAAATGTTGCTCCAAATTGCGGAAAAGTTCGATGTTAAAGGAAAATTTCAAAAGTACACTCAAACTGGGTGATTTGACTACGGTAGAGGACAAGTTTTGGAAGGATTTTGAAGAGAACATGTTGCTTTAAATCCTTTGAAAGTTGCACTTAAATGGAAAGTTTGGTCAATTTGTTGAGAAAAATCGATTTCAAACTGGGTGATTTGACTTCGATGAAAAATTGCAATCGCATTTTCAAACATTAATTACCCAACAAACAGCCAAGCCAGAGGTGCAATTTTGCTACAATTTTGAAAAAAAGGTTTTACTAAATTTTTACACTAAACAGTTTTAATTAGAATAGCGAGCTAAAAATGTGTGATTTGACCTCGATGAAAATTGGAACTGCATTTTGAAAAATTCGTCGCGGAACATCTAGAAAACCACAGGAGTAATTTTGGCACGATTATGAAGCAAAAAAAACTTAGAAACCTTTGGAAAGTTGGACTTGAATTGCATATTTGGGCGATTTTTTAAACAGTTGGAAAACTGAGCTCAAACAGTGTTAACGTTAATTATTTCTTGGAAATCAAATTAGCAAAGAACTAGCGAAGTCAGAAGACTTGTTTTGGCAGAATTTTGAAGATAAAATATTGCTTTAAATTCGGGAAATGTGGGAATTAAATGAGACATTTGGAAGATTTTTGGCAAAATTGGAAAAGTGAACTTACGCTGACTGATTCGCTGTCGACAAAAATTCAACTATTTTTCAATAATTAATTACCAAAAAGCTAGTCAAGCTAGAAGATTTATTTTGGCAGGGCATTGAGTATAGAACGTTGCTCTAAACTTGGAAAGGTGCACTTAGATTGAAAATTTTGGTGATTTTTGGAAAAATTTCAAAATTGAACTCGCCCGTGTAGATTTTACTTCGATGAAAATTTCAAAAATTAATTGCCAATATATTGCAAAAATACAATGTGCTTTTAAATTCTTGAAAAGTTGAACTGAAAAGGAAAATTTGGGCGATTTTTGGTGAAATTAGAAATTTCAGTGAAAAAGGCAACACCGTTTTCGAAAATTTATTACGCAAAAAGCAGTCAAGGTAGAGGATTAATATTCGCATGATTTTAAAAAGAAAGGGCTGCTCTGAATATTTTAAAAATTTGCCTTAAATGGAGAATTTGGACGATATTTGGCAAAATCGGAAAACTGAGATAAAAATGTGTGATTTGGTTTCAATGAAAATTGCAACTGAATCTTCAAGAATTAATTGTGAAAAAACCAGCCAAGTTCCAAGAATAGCTTTGGCTCCATTTTGAAAAGAAAATGTTGGTCTAAATCGGTGGGAAGTTGGACTTGAATAAAAAATTTGGGCGATTTTTTGCAAAATTGGAAAAGTGAATTAAAAATGTGTGATTTGATTTCGTTAAAAATTGCAATTGCATTTTTAAAATAAAATTGTGAAAAAACCGGCCACGCTTGAAGAGTAACTTTGACACGATTTTAAAAAGAAAAATTCGTTTTAAGTTATTGGAAAGTTGATCTTAAATGGAAAATTTAGGCGATTTTTGACAAAATTGGAAAAGTGAACTAAAATGTGTGATTTCTCTCCGATGAAAATTGGAAATGAAGTTTCACAAAAAATGTTGTTAAAAAATCGACTAAGTTAAAAAAATAACTGGCACGATTTTGAAAAGAAAATGTTGATCTAAATCTTTGGAAAATTGGACTTCAATAAAAAATTTGGGCGATTTTTGATAAAATTGAAAAAGTGAATTAAAATTGGGTGATTCGACTTGCAACTGCAAGTTCAAAAAATAATTGTGCAAACACCAGCCAAGTTGTACGAGTAACGGTAGCAAAAGAATATTAAAGGAAAACGTTATTGCTTAAAATGTGGCTCTAAATCCGTGGAAGGTTGCACCTGAATGGCAAATTTAGACGATTTTTGGCAAAATTTCATAACTGTGAGTTTGAGTTCGAAGAAAACAATTTTGAAAAATTAATTTCCAAAGAACCAGCCAAGATAGACAACATTTTTGCATCATTTTCAAGCTAAAATGGTGCTCTCTTTGGCCCAACTATCGATTTAAATTGAAAATTTTTGCGATTTTTATCGAACTTTCAAAATCCCGCAGTTTGTCGATTCTGGAGGTCCAAAGCTGCAGGCAATCTCGAAAGCAAATTTCAAAATTTTTAGAGCCTTCGGGTCTATCGGGTTGGCCCCAAAAGATTCCCAATAAATTTCCGTAAATGGCCGTTTCTTTCAGCTTTTCGTTCACAATGCCGATGGTTATTGGTGATTGTTAGGGAAAAATGATGCGAATCCGTTAAGAGTCATAATCGCTGGTTAATTAAGCTAATGTTCGAGCAATGGCGTGAACGAGCAGCGCGACCATCTTGGCTCTAATTAGCGGTCATTACAGCCCCAATAGGGCCCCAAAGGAATTAACACGGCGACCTCGTGCAGGATTAATTGATATTCGTACTCGCTGTGCGATCTGGAAATGTCCATTAATTGGCCGGCTTTTATTGCTTCGATTTCATCAGATTAGTGATGGATGTCTGTAGGGGCTTTCGGGTCACACCGGCCTGAAACCTAATCATCGCTGCCACTCTGAGGAGGGCAAATTGAATTTTGATGAAATTCGCCCGCTCTTTGATGCGCCACTGGAAATTATTCAGGATTTGCATGGGATTTCAATAAAATGCAAATCGCTGGCAAAAAGCTTCGCTTTAGCAATTCATATTTCAACATGGGATTTGGATACTTTTGGGCGACAATGATAAATCGACTAATCGCTCACCGAAGAGTTCAGGATTGCACAGTTTCTTCCTGTCCCGCACCATTGGCACCGATCTTCGATTAACTGGATCGCGCTTGATGGACTGTCGCTTCGGGAAAGTGATCAAACTGCCGAATTGCTGATTGTAGTCGCGTCTTTTTTTCGCGTAGTTGTTTGACTTCATTGCTGAACTGTCCTCGTCCTTTTCCCGGAACTGTTTGGTGAAATCTGCTGGACGGTCTGGATCAGCTGGAGATTTGTTGTCTCAGTGCACCTACCTTCTTTCCTGAACTGGTCCAGCTGCCCCAGGCTGTTCATGGTGTCCGATTTGATTTTTTTGATCTGGATTTCGATTTCCTCCAGTTCCCGATTGGAGTCTCTTCTGAGGGTTTCGGGTTTTTTATCTGCAGGCTCCGAGTGGTTAACTGCAGGCTTCACAATCCTCCCGCTACTCTCTATGGGCGACAGCATTTCCTGCGGGGTTGCTGGCAGCGATTTCTGGCTTAACGGCAGGAAGGAGGGCACCTGCCTGCCAATTCTTCTCTCCTGCTTTGCAGCAAAAGGGTTCTTTGAGACCAGTCAGGATGCGAACGCAAATCGGATGTTTTCAGTTTTTTTTGTAATGTTAAAGCTTATTTATTAATATATTTTAATGTTAATTTAATAAAAAAAGTCTCCATAATAATTTTAAAGCGAATTTAAATTCAAATCAGATGTTTTCCGCCAAAAACGCCAAATCCGTATCGTCGGTTGCCTATCCCGATTGTGACGTAGCAGGTCATATCAGCAAAGTGTCTCGTGTTTATTTTGTTGTTTCCGCGGCTTTGTTTTATTATTTAAGTTATGGTGATTATTATTATCTTGCATAATGGAAAATAGTGACGTATGGATCACAAAATAAGTGGTGTTTTGTGCCAGGATGCTTCAATAAGTGCTCCAAACCAATTCTTTCTAACCGTTGCTCATGATTATGCACGTAAAGTTTTATGGTTCAAAGCAGGCAGACGTGATGTTCCTAAATCAAAATCAATGTTTGTTTGTTGCGAGGATCATTTTAATGAAAGCACGAACAAAAAGCTAATGATGAGGCAGATAGAATATGCCTTTGATCGTACTTTGTGTTCCGGGCAAATTCACATATCCACATATCCGATATCACCATCTTGTTCTCGTGATGACCAAAATACAAATTTAAGAGTTCAGTTTACTTTTAAAGCCGCCAAAGTTAGGTTAAGTTGAATAAGTGAAATTCTATATAATATTTACCTAATTTAAACCAATGCAGACAGATTAGTATATTAAGGAGAGAGCAACTAATAATGAATTTACGGATTTTTACTTACGCTGCT